AAATCCACGACCGCTCTTTACTAAAACCCTGTCGGAAATTCTGCAACACCAGGTTTGCTTAAGCGCATTGCTGACCGTCATGAGGGGTAAGAGATGAGATGCAGATTGGACTCTGACCTGGAACGCTACTGGCTTCATGAAAGTTGATCACCAGTTCTTGGCAACGTTCAAGGGAATATCAAAGAGACTTCCAACACTTCAATTCTGAAACAACCCTGATCACATCAACGAGTCACAATCGGGTCAACTCACTGCAAAGCAGAAAAAATAAAATGAGCTGCAATGTGAAAGTCTTTAGTGGTCCGGCACACACACACACATACCATCTTGCCTGGGAGCGTGAAGCAAGAAAAGCTTCAGAGCATCTTACCCTTATGAAACTCTATATGCAAGAAACCTGGATCATGGAATGCAACATTGCCCTCTTGACTGCTACGAGGCTTAAGTTTAATCGGCCTATGCTGAGAGAACGGAAGGGGTAGGACTGCAAAAAAACAGCCTCAGAGCGGCAGATTTTTTTTACTTCCCGGTGAGCTGATGCCCATGTTCCAATCATCCCACAGTCAAGGCCTAGGCCGGCACACCCTCAGAAACCCTGCAGTCACTGCTTGTCGCTCGTCACTGCTAGGTCACGTGTGCCAAGCAAAGGCACACTGAAGGATGAAGTGTGAGGACACCACACACAATCAAAAGAAATGCACCATGTGCAAGTCCGAGGAGAGGGAGAATTGGGCGCTCGTCCTGAGCTGAGTGAGAAAAGAACAGTTGATAATCCAAAGGAAATGTGAATGAACATCTGGAAGAGCAGCAATCTTCGATAAAATCAATTTATAGGTAAACCAGGTACAGTGATAAGTGATAAGTTGTTGTCTGCACAGAGAGAATCAAGCACGGTCAGTGGCTAACTTAAAACTACAGGATTCTTTTGCGATGAGAGATCTGTCAGACAACCTGCTCAAATTCAACTAGCCTTAGCATGTCCCCGCAGCATCTATATAATTACACTATTGCAAGAACATACAACAGCGGTTTCCCTCTCCCATGACCCATATCCAGAATTTGTCTCTTTTCTTATCGTCCTTTCGCTTTGTGTCCTTTCCTTTCTTTCATGTCCGTTCCTCTTCTGCCTTTTTTGATAGTCTCAAGTTCAAGAGATGGATGTCTAGGAACTATTATCAAACAAAACTGAGTAGCCTTTAATTTAGATGGCAGCTAGTGTCATTGTTATCCTGCCCCGGCAATGAACCTGTCTGAGTCTCAATTGGAGTTCTCTTCTCTTCTCTTCTCTTCTCTTTTTTCTCCCTTTTTCCATTCGCTCTTCTGTTTCTTGTGAGAGATTTGTACCTTGCCCAAGACCACCAATCTGCTCATCATAAAGGTGCACACCTCCAAAGGTTTTCCCCTTTGCATCTAGCACTGTCAACTGTGAACGACGTATCAATCATCAAATTTGGTGTCATTCCCCAACTTCCACACAAGGAAAATTCACCGTTCCCTGATGTTTCCTTGTGTGAATTTCCGCCTAAGAATTGCATGGCAAAACTCCCGATCTTGGATGTGCGCGTGTAGGTTCGAGACTTCACTCCCCGATCGACAAATCAGACTTGTGCATTTTTCACATGTACCTGAAGCTGGGCATGTTAGTATGTACTAGGCTTTTCAATCAGTCATCTACCATGTTTGTGGTCAAACATTGTCTTCTCTCCATGGAACTATCACCAATGAAAGCAGTGACCAAACACTCGGTCATCTCACATGCGTCCTCGCTATGCAAACATTCAAAAAGATCTTCCAAAGGGACATTTCCACAAAGTTGCTCGACCCTCAAATGTGACTTTCAACAACTCGAGAGGCGAGAACGAAAACAGTGAGCATCATCAAACTATTGTCTTTGCAGTGAGGCTCCTGAGGGCTGAGTCCGTCCGCACCGAAGAAGGGCTCAGCTCCGTTCTGGTGAGCCTCGGGCAGCAAACCGTCTCAGTAGGCCAGGAAGAATCGACCAGAAGCAGTTGGAACCAAGTTCACAAAGCATGAAATTCATGAATGATGAACTGAGATCCAATCATCAATCAACCATCCATCAAGATTCAAGATTCTCAAGCAAAAGAAGAGAGAGGTTCAGGTCTAGGATCCCTCCAGTCTGAAGCTGTCTGTTTCAGTGGGTGTCTTGACTGCTGCAACTGCTGCAATGACTGCATATTTGAGTGTGGAAGGCACCTCGATCAATACTTGGCCAAGAAAATGCAATCAGGGCACTCGGCCATTTCATCAATGGCCGGCTGAGACCCTGGAATCACTGAACTCCTGAACACCTTGGGGCGATTTACTGATCATGCTGTCAACGAGAGATATTGGAGAGCTGATTCTCTTGTGCTGCCCGATGACATCACAAAAACTCACAAGGCACGTGATGACAACTTGGCGACAGTGCAAAAATGGTCTCTCAACGTGCTCTGCTTGCTGGCCGTCTTCAAAACTCCATCAGGGTGCAGAATGAAGGAATAAGTCTCTTGAAACCAGTTTCAGGATGTTTCAGGTATTTGTTTCGATATCTCTTGAATCATGATTTGTTTACATCAACACCAACACTTGCACTGGCCAAGTCAAACGAGTCAAACCTTGACGAGCCAGGGCCTTGATTGGTAGGAGAAAAATCTGCGCTGGCCCTGCATGGCAAGCTCAGAACCAGACTGATGGAATTCAGAAACTGGAAACCAGTCGTTCAGAAGGTTCACTTACCTTTGGCAGCATTGCTGAGCACTACTGCAGCTTCACTGTACGCAAGCAACATCGGGTTCACCATTCAGAAACCAGCTCAAAGGTGCAATTATCACTATGTTGGGAAGAACTACTTCTAGCGTATAGAATTAAAACATTAGCCACGTGCATCCAAGGATGCCGTGAACCAGAATTCTCTTGACCAAGCCTGGAGCCATGTCCTGGTATATTATTAAGGTCAGTCATTCTGTATTGCAAGCCCGCAAGCCTTCTTCAGGTTCCAAAGTTCCCAGATACGACGAAGGAACCCGGTACGAAGTCCGCCCTGAAATCGTTGGGTCCTCAGGCTCGCGGCAAAGTTGAAGACACTCGGTGCACCTTGGCAGCGCAAATTCGAATCATTTGGCGTCGCTTTGGCTCTTAAGATCAGGATCTACAGCGATGGCTGTCTTTGGGGATTTGATGGGTGTTAACTGTTAGCAGCCCCGAAAGCAGGCCAACCAAGTCTGGTTGGTGCCTGGACTTGAGAACCCATGTTGTAGTAGCTGTTCTTCTTGTTGGTGTTGGTGTTGGTGTTGGTGTTGGTGTTAGTGTTGTTGTTGTTGTTGTTGTTGTTGTTGTTGTTGTTGTTGTCATCGCGGTGGTGGTGGTGGTGGCGGCAGCGGCTGTTGTCACTGTTGTGGTCCTGGTCGTCATTGTCGTCGCCGTCATCATTGTTCAGGCGATCAACGGCCTATGGGGAGTAGGATTTGGTATCATGATAAGGGATTTTCAGACCCAATCAATGATAATCAATGTGCAAAAACAGTAGTCATTAGACTTGTCAGGTCAATGATGCTGTTTCTCGGGCCTTTCGCTTGCCAACCCTCGAATTTAGCGCAGCATTGCTTGAGCGCTTGATCGAGCTTGTATCATGCCATGCTCTGCAAAATGTTGGCCCTTGGGCAGCATGCTCTTCACACACACCCACACCCACATATCCACACCCTTTCAAGAAGAAGGCACTCGCTGAGGAGGCAATGGCACACAAAGAGCGCTTGCTTCACGCAGCGATGTGCGCTGGCCTCGGTCCATGGGGGTGCCAGTGTGGTTGTGCGCACTGTGCCAGCTGAGCCTGAGTCTGACCTGACGGAATCAGGTGATACAGAGGTCCAGGCTGTCGAACGAAACGGTGATCAGATCTTTGAACGTGGCACGCCATGGAGCTACCGGCGAAAAGATCGGAAGGACAAACCTTTCGAAGTTTGTTTTTCTAATTGTATGTTGGTTTCACACATGCATGACTCGTGCTTAAGGCTTAAGTAGCAGGGTTGCGATCTTGGTCGGTCTATATAAGGGTTTTGTTACCTTTATGGTCCATCTCAGAATCTTCTCCACACTTAGAGAACATTGGATCAAACCTCATTGATCTGAGCATCATACAAAAGACGTGCTTTTTTTGGTAGTTATTGGATGTTAGCTTTACATAACAGCTAGCTGAGCTGTTTGTGGTAAACTTGGCTCCAGAGCTTACAAGAAAAGACCCAAAGCAGCGAAGGTTTCCCAAAGACTGCTGTAGGCTTGAGCTGGAGGTCGGCGTGTCCCTTGCGCGCTGATCCACCTTTCACGTCACTACTGAGTACCTCCCTGCCAGTCAAGGTCAAGGGCTGTGAGAGGTGTATTCTCTCATGAATTCAATCCACTTGATTTCCATGTACCCCATGAACGAAACCTGGAATCCAGAACATCTGTTGTTCAAGTTGCACAAGGATCACCGGGACCAATCCCGCACCTAGCTACCACTTCAACGATGCTCTTGGACTTTGGAAAGCATCCCGGATCGAGAAGCCCCACATGTGGCTGTACCTTCCCTGCAAGAAGACTTGAAGAATACAACACATGATTGTTGATTACTCGTATACGATGCATCAAAGCATGAAACCTTGCAATTGTGAATATTACGTTTCGAGTCCTCAGGCACACTGGCCGCACTGATCCCTTCGTGCAGCCCTCAGCTGCAGAAGGAATCTATATACATCTTGCTTAGGGGCTTACAAAGTGAAAGAACGTGAAAGACCCGGCGGAAACAAAAACAATAGCTTCTAAGCTCCACTGGTTCTACAATCCCAGTGTCTCATATAGCCTCCCGTTGGTCCTGTATTTGACTTCTACCCCTGTTTCCTCAGTTTTTTGTGGATTTCAGGTGACTTCTGAGACCTCGCCAGCAGAAGGGCTCGTTCTTGTGATACCGATGCAAAGGTTGTCCTCCCGTTCGCAACCGGACCTGCTCAAGCCATCCTGGCCTTCGCAGAAGGCCCCGCACCATCGCGACCCTGCCCAGGGCCGTGGGGTGTCTTTTGGGGGATCCAAGTTCTAACCCCCAGCTACCTTGTGCTTGCACTATGCGGCAGGTCAGAATTGAAATCAATTCTCCCAGCAAAGGTTTGAAACATGTTCACTTTGGGCATGTATCACTGAGAAGTTTAGCTGCTCATGCTCGAACCTGACATGAGACCGATCTCCGGGACCGGGAGTAAGAACACGTGTAAAATGTTCGACATCTGCCAAACATGCAGAAAATAGCCTGATCAGAGAGAGATATAGATACCTCACCTCTGCCTTCCCAATCCGGAAAGGCCCTACAAAACATACAACTGAGTTCCTGGAAGTAGCTCCATGGACCGATCCTGGAAGTAGCTCCATGGACCGATGCACCCGAAATACAAACAAAAGGAATGAAAAGCATGAGATGATGATAGGTCCAAGACGAAGGATTCGTTGGTTCAAAATCCAACTCAACAGTCCGATTCTTGAAGAACTGCTTCAGCCTTTGGCACTCGACTCAAAAGGACTTCCAAACCCAAAAAGGTTGCTGGACTGTTGTTCAAAGCTCACGTGGGACATCTGAGGACCCAAGGGTCCTTTGTGATAGAACTGTTGTTCAAGCCCATGTCGCGTTGAGTCATGACCGACGCGACGTGCTTGCGTGCTCTGCACCTCCGGACGTCCAGGCACCGCGCAAGTCTCAGCGCTGGGGTGTTGCCCCAAGTCGCCCCGAGCCACACGCTGCAGTGGACTGGTGGACTGAGTGGAACACACCTAAGCTGAAGCTTCAGCACCTGGACGATTGGGTAAAACTGCAACACTGAGCAAACTGAGCGAGAACTAGCTTGACTAGACAGGAATTGAATATTTCTTGGAGCGAGCGTGGGTCATATAGCAGAATTGTCACACAATGTCACTCACATGTCATACTCAAGCCACTAATTATCCACAAAACTCTACAACTTCTGGACTGGATGGAAACGATATCAACTCACCTCTGCTTCTGACACACTTACTTCTCCCTAACCACCCCACCCATCACGACAACGGCTCATTTGTTTCTCTTCATCCATGCAAATGGGGCGCTTTGCTGTGCGCCTTGCGAGTCACCCGAAACGCAGTAGATCACGTCGCAAAAATGACATGTTTGGAGACATTGTCACCTCACAAATTATCACTATGTGCAGCATGTTGGGGTTCTGAATGTCTAACCGACTGAGGTTGGCAGCACTTTGGGCATGTGAGTTTGACCCGCCAGGCATGGCTGGCCAAAAGAACTGCCGCTGAATCCTCGTCTCAGCCCCTCCCTGCTCAACAACACAAAACCTTTCAACACCAACTACATACAGGTTAGCTGGCCATTCTGTACAGTACATGCAAGCTGTTTGTTCAATCTGCCACTCCAATTGTCAAATTGTGGACCCAACTGACAACCCCAATAGCATAGCATCCAATCAAGATCTTGCGTCATTTTTTTTCGTCTGTGGTTCGTTCTGCTGTTCTTTCACACACCGAATATGGAGGACAGTTGTGAAAATCACAAAAGTATAATTATCACAACAAAAGATTCACACTAAGGAAGATGGATGTTTATATATCTATGGGTGCGTAATTCCTATCCGGACAGAAAACGACAAGGACATAAGTTCATACAAGCGCCAGGAAAATGTTCTCACCGACGGAGAACATGTATTGAAGGACGAGCACGTAATTTATACACGAAAGGTGCAATGAATGCAGCTGTCAAACAGGACATACTTTGAGTCTTTGCGCCAGGGACGACACACCTTTGGACATGCAAGCGCATAGTTTATACAAAAGCACGCAGAAAAATAAAGGCAAAAACAAAGAGGATGTTGTACAACAGTAAGCAATGACTGTACGTACATGTATGTGCCAACGCATGACTCATATACACAAGAACGATACAAGAAACGCAGGGCCAAGCAAGCAGTGCTTTACATGTCGAAAACAATTCTCAACCAACACCATTCTTTTTGACATGCTATCACAAAACGTACTTACCAAAACAACTTCACTATCCAAAGTCGGGTCTAAAAACCTTTCGTGCTTGGTGCGACGTTTTTGGCATATATTGTCCGCTGGCGATTGAACTCTTGTGGTGTGTGTGTGTGTGTGTGTTTGTCAGATGCAAAAATAGGTGTGCGGGCACTCGCACATAAATGTTGGCTATGGGAAATGGACACTGAACAATTTTGCCTTAGGTGCTTTGTGGTCTATGAATAGCAGGTGTTGTTAGCAAAGATGAGACGGTAAAAAAAGGATATCATAGGGGATCATCATGAACAATATGACAAACATGTATATACTGCTACCAAAGGAAAAGACCATCAAGCGCGGAGGCATTATTTATACACGACAGGTGCAAAGAATGCAGTGCTGTTTGTTGTCCGCTGCCTGTTGAAAAGAATTATCACGCTTTGCAAAAGGCAGCACAACAACAAACATCTACATCAGCAGAACATGCATACACCTGCCAACTAATAGTTCATACAAAAACTAAACCACGGATTCCACGTACGTTCTTCCAAAGCGAGGCAGTTTTTTGCATGTCAAATCAGCTTTTTCACGTGCAGTATGTTTTTTCGAGCACCGGCGCAGAATGCACACCAGGTGTATGGACATGCAAGCGCACAGATAATACACGCACAGACTGAGACCGAGACCGAGACGCTATATAAGCGGGACAACACAAAAACATCAGCAAACCACCCCCAAAAATAGAACCCATACACCACCAAAACAAAGCAAAGCCGGCACGCCACCCAAACATGAGCAAAACACCACCCAAACACCGAGACACCACCCAAACACGACCGGGGCACCAGCCAAACATGACCGAGACACTGCCACAACATGACCCAGATACCACCGAAATATGATGCAAGTACCACCTAAACAATACCGAGACACCGGGCCGGGCCGTGGATCCGACGGCGCCCAACCGCCTAAAGAGTGTACAACCTGAAGCTATATACGCTATTGGGGAACTATTGAACTGCACATGTGCATGAAATGGACTCTGACCCTGACTGCATCATCAGCGCCCTCAGATCCCTCACCTTCAGCAGGGCGCCGTGCAGGAAGGTGGATTAGAGGCGCAGAACGGCCATAAAACCTGTCCACGTTGAAGCAGACCGCAGACCATCTGGGATCCATGAAAACAAGCAAGTTGTTCCAGCCATGGCAACTGGCAGGTGTATAGAATATGATATTACAACCTATCAAGTCAAGCCAAAACAGCAGCTAGCCCAGAAATCACATGAAAAGAACTCTCCGATCATACCCCCCGGCGCAATCGCCCGACAGCAAAGGTTGCAGGAGTGAGACAAAGTCTGGAAAGCCCAGCGGGCACAAAACAAGCGCAGTCGTTTTTTCATATCCTCCATGCTTTACCGCTGGGATCACTTCACTTGCCAGGCAATTTATAGAGTGGGTAAGAGAAAAAAAGAACTCTATACAGTGACTGGCCAGAGTGTTTCTATAGAATGCAGTAGTAAGAGATCAGTTGAGGGATGGACAAGCGATCCTCTATAAAAAAGATAGAACCAGATCTCAGTAGCAAAACACATAGACTACTACAAAATGAAAAACCATATCAACGAAACAAAAAAGTTGGATGTGAAAAACCAGTTAAACATACATCGAGACCTGACTATAGTAATTAAGATGTAGATATCGAGCTCCAAAGGTGGCAACAACGGGGGACGGCTCGAAGAGACTACTTCCAAGACTCCGTTCAGAGTTCTAGAGCTCCCCCGCTTGGGGAACAGCAGAGACACAGGGCAAACCACAAAGGTACACAGGGTGATCTTTAAAACATCCACATACGTATAATTATTAACAACCGTATATATCTTTCCTTCTTTTTGTTTCTTTGCTTGAGCGATTGGGATTTTAAGGCAATTTGCGAAGATTCAAGGAAATTTGGGGAAGGGTAAGGAACTTGCAGGATATTTGCTAGATAGTTGCTGAATGCTATTTGGTAAAAATCTTCAAGATCACGCTATTCCCTTGTGATTGAGTGCTATGTGGCGCGTGCTGAACGCTAGTTGCTAGTTACTGCTAGTTGCTGAGTGCTGTCACACATGTCAACTGTCAACCCCTAAATTCTCTATTAATACAAAATGCTTTGTTAGGTCCAAATGTTCTCACAACATAAATACTATAAAACGCCAACCCAGATCTTTAGCACCACATAAGCAAAGTGCATGCGGCAGCTCTCCACTCCTCTATAAAATGCTTGGCAATGGTTCACAGGCATGCCAAGAGAGGCCACCAACACAGACAGAAGCCAGCTCTATAGAATGCTGTCAAAGCTTACGGATCACTCTCTACAAAATGAGGCTCCAAAAAGCATTTTATTTATAGTGTCAAATGATCGTCATTTTATAGAGGGCCAAGCACGGAGGATGTCAGAATGGCATCCACAAATACACACAAGGTAAATCGACGATCGCCCTGTTGTATATGTCTGTGTGTCTGTTTTAGACGAGAGAGATCTTTTTGGAAAGCTTGCTTAAGGGCTCAAGGGCAGCCTGCAGCTTGCGCGCCGGCAAGGTTTCAGCTCAGTGACAGTGACAGACCTTGGCGCAACTGCTTGATTCGCTTGATCATGAACAAAAGGCATGAAGCGACGCACCACCAACAAATCAAATGCGTACCTGTTATATACCTGATAGCCGGCTTTCTCCGCCGGAAGTGAGCCATCTGTGGATCCAACTTTTTGTATGCCAAGGATTCTATGAGAATCGTGACACGACAAGGAAAGATTGATTGTAATGGGGATCCACGAATGAGCCCGTTTGATTCGACTTGTTCTTCAGCATTGAAGAACTTTGGCCAAATTGACCGTCTTCATAGCAACACTACCGACAAACGGGCTTTTGACGTTCATGAAAGCCCATCACATAAGCCAGCAAAACCGAGGATAAAGTGATGCCTTGATGCAGCTCATCCTCTTCCCCAAGCAAAAGTCCACATCATCTGGCCAAATGCTCTCTAAACCACCCACCACCTAGGTAAGGACTAGCGTTAGACAGAACCAAACAAGAAAATGGGTATCTATCTGCAACATGGAGGAATGAGTGTGGTCTCTTAGAAAAATCCAAGTAATGATTTAAACGAGCATGGCGGAAAGGTGGATCTTTGCTTGAGATGTGTTCCCGTCTGGCAAAGCCTGTCCGTGTTGCCTGTGAGTCTCAAACCTGTAAAACACAACTGCCAAAATGTGTTGCAACTCCAGGAGCATTCTTTCCTGACTTCCAAGGACAAAAAAGCTAGGCTAACAACCTCCTGCCTGATCAAGGCCTGATTGACTCACAAACGACAAACGGAGACGATGCGCTCAGAGTACTCACGATACTTCTGGACACTTCGCTGCATTCCGTGCAAAATGCATGGCAACACTACTCAGGAATTTAGTTGCTGCTCAAAATGCAAATGCCTCGAGTTTCTTTTCGATGACATGCCGGTTGTTGAAGGCGTAGATCAGCGCAGTAGACGCCAGGGATGCGATTGCGGTGAATTGTGCCATGGTCAACTCCATCCCCAAGGTTCTAATCACTAAGGCAGAATCCAATCTCAGTCCTGAGCTAAGTACTGTCTGCAAGGTTGGGCTTGCTTCTATTCTACCCATCTTGGCGAGGATTCCTTCTGGGAGTGTCGAAGCAGGCTAAAAATCTTTGAATAGTCTGTTGTCCGGTTGGGTGCTGGAGAAGAGGAGAGGCCAGTGCGGTAAGAAAGAAGGTGTGGGATAAGATTGCATGAGAGTACCAGTTGGGAAATGAACTCTCACTGACATGCTCCATCAGCCAGAAAAAAATAAAAAACATCATCAGCCCTGTGGGAGAGGATGAGATTTGTGGACAGCTTCGAGTGAGAGTTAAAGTACCGGGCTCAATGTGGGTCACGAAGCGGATATTCAGAGTTCTCTGGGAAACGAGGTACGGGTTGGTGGTGGGAGGACATGAGTAGAAAATACACGGTGGAGCTGGACTGAGCGACGAGAAGAGATCAAAAGCTTTTCAGACTTCAACAAGGCGGCCTCTACTTCTGCTTCTATCTCTGCTATGAGGCTACCTAAAAACCAAATCGGCCCGCCAGCTTTCCAAAAATGGCCAGTACTCTAAACAAGTTGTACTATTGCAAAGGCATCCGACACATCGGCTCTTACAAGACTTTTACGATAAAATACAGTGTGCTTATGGATTCGTTTTGCGCTGCGGAGCCGCAGGCAATTGTTGAACCCCCTGCAACTGACATCGTGATCAAACAAACATCAACCAACTGGAAGCTCCAAAGAGGTCGCTGAAACAGAGGTATCCCTCAAAAACTGTGACCATCTAGTGTATTCCAGGCACCCTTGTGGGAGAGAGACGCTTCTTGGCATTCGGACCCCTCTTGGGCTTCACAAAAGCCTTACCTTACCTGGCTTGCCGAGAGTCGCTGGGCAATGTCAACGGTCAGATCAATCGCTGATTTGGCTTCTTTGATCTTTGCTGTGAGCTCACGTTTTGTTCCCTAGGCTCAGCATCGTGGTGTGTGTAGGGGAAAAAACAACCTGATGGCAATGAGGAACATATTGAACATGCGCTCAGCGCTCGCTTCAAGATGCGGAATACATTGGAACTCTGAACGAACGAGACTTAAAACCAAATCTTCTGGGAGACAGTGAGGAAATTGATCAACACGACAACCTCGCGGAATTACAACCAGCATCAAGTAGCTACCCTTCGGAATCGCATCTGTGCAGCCCTAGATTTTATCCAGATATAAAGTACATATAGTATAATTAGTTGTGTCAGTGTATTTGATCAACTACGGAAGGAAGTTGCTGCCAAGAAGCTAAAGTTTTGGCCTTGCCAAGTTCCCTCTCCAGCTTGTGAAGGTATGCCCGTGATTCGGTCGCATGCCCCCAAAGGAGGTTGATGGTTTCCCGGCCCAACATGTTCGCCCTGAGACCCACAAGCAAAGGAGGCACTGAGAAAACCAAAAACGCGATGAAGAAGACCATGGTCGCACCAAACAAGACCTTTGATGTACTGACTCTGAAAATGTTTGGGGGAACCGCTGAACAAAGCAAACAGAACCAATCAAAAGACCAAGAAAATTCCAGAAAACGGCGCTTCCTTCTTGAGAATTCCGAAGGCACTCCAGGCTGCCACAGAGGATCGATACCATGCCAGACGAGCAATGACGACATGCCCACGACGGTCAAAACATTATGTGCAAAACCAACCTCCAAGGGAAACTTCACGCGTCTAGCACTTCCAATGAACAAGGCATACAGCTCGTACCAGGCTACTATGTCATCAATATTGCATACGCGTATGTAGGGAACGCACTCTGCTTGGGCAGCACGCTTCCCCATCAACATCGAATTAAGCACCCTAAAGGACCTGGCCATACTAGAGAAAAGCATCTGCAATTGCGTAGGGGCGACACAGCCCAACAGCCAGCCTGTCTGTCCAAGAGTAAGCATGAAGATGACTGCCACAACTTTGCACCATGTGTTGTGGGGCAGGAACGATCCTCCCCCTCCGCGTCGTAGCAAACCGGGAAAGAGCGCCCCAAAAACGAACAAGGCAATTGACAGCAAGATCAGAAGAAGACGTGCTGCGATACCGATGTAGTGGAGTGGACCTTTTTGAACAGCTGGCCAGCCAACCAGCATCTGCTCTGCCAGCACCACCAACGGCATCTTTTTATTTTCAAACGCCGTGCGATACACTGACATAAAATCCTTTGATATAATATCCTCTGTAGGGTTTGTAGAGTCTGTGGGATCAATTCTCATCTCCAGTTCAGTTGGGAAGGCCTGGATACGACGAAGGTGGCGCAGCAAGGACTTGTGTGCAAGGTGACATAGGCGTTCTGACAGCAACATGGATTCGTATTCGATTTCCGACTCAAACACGCGAAAGTAAACCGACTGCATCTTGGGAACTTTGAGCACAATAAGGATTCTTTGGAGGGTGTGCTCGGAAAATATGCTGACATGGTCCCTAGATTGCTCATCAACAGGCTCCTTTGGTGAACCTTTCGCACATGCTCGTTCTCTGTTGCCAGCGAAGCGGCAACAGCCACTGTAGGGACCACGAGAATCACAGTAGTCGTTCACTTGACCAACCAAATCCTTCCAATCTTTTGGATGCAAGTCCCGTGCTGCTGCAATTCTCAATGAAGTACCTAGTACAAGCCACCTTGGGAGCAACACTTCAGTGGCAAATATCTGTCTTCCATCCTCACCTGCCAAACACCATGCTATTGTGCTCACGTTCACGTAAATTGACGAACCAAAATCAAATACAGCCACCCTCAAAGAATCATTGGATTTCAATCTGTCTGCAATGCCTTCCCAGTATTTGCCACTCTGGCATCCAACTCTTGCACTCCACAAGGCATGAAATGCACACCAAACTGGATACACTGGATTTGTGATCAAAACAAGAATATTTGCAATAATGGTATACAAACTGGGTTGAAAATAGTCATTGTGATAGCCATTGCAGTCATCCAAGAGCTTCTGCATGTCCAGGTCCTGGCCCGCTTGCAGGAAACAATTGTTTTCTGATGGTTGGTTCCAAAGGCTCTCATACTAAGCTATGTCAAATTAGTGTATCATTTCACAAATGCATTTAATTCTATAGGTATTCCAGGTTTGAGCCAGCAATTGACCTGCTGCGCCGCCTGCATAGGAACTAGGGTCTTTGTCTTGGTACTGCACGCAGAAGAGGAATCGTAATTACGGGTGAACCTAGCCCAAGTAGAATGTCCCGCTGCAAAGGTGGAATAGAGGAACCATATTTAAAAACAAAGTGTTCCGAGGGCTTTTCAAGGCATTTTTGAGGTTGTAGTCCTGGAGCTGACCGTGCAGAAAACCGATATCCAAACAAAAACCTGTCATACTAAAACTTGTTTTCCTTGTACTCTATCTGCTACACTTTCTCATACATGAATGTGGCAATCTAACGTCTAAACGCCGTATGGAGTGTCCTGCTGTTCAGTCTCCACGCGACGTTTGCCTCGGCGGGCTGGCTTGGGCAACGCATCATGGTAAGCAGGCGGAGTAGCACCAAGTATGTAAAAGGTTAATTACACAGATTATGCATGTTCCCTTGGCCAAACTTATAAGGACATGTATTTGTAGTTTTACACGAACAACATCGAACAACTGACACCTGAAATGATTATAATAATGCATGCCTGCAAGTTCTACAGCGCTACAGTTCGTCCAATTCCACAAACGAAATTGACAGATGGACCGACACCACAAAAAACTGTTAGTTTCATCTCCGCCTTCGCTGTGTAAGACTAACCTGTAACGTACATCTGGTAATCAGGAAAATGATGAACCGAAACGTTTGACCTATGTTGCTTGTGCGTCCTTCCTTGCCTCTGACATCTGCATGAAACCATTTGAAACCCATATGCAAGAGTGCACAGCAAAGAATGGTCACCGCACTAGCTGTACTGTATAAAGTTAAATGTCCACTTGCAATTTGTCCACTGGTCTTCAGTGTTTTGTGGACAATAGACATGTGTCATTTTTTGACTGTTTTGGGGAAATTGAACTGTATTATTCGGCTGTAAAGAGTTCTCCTATATTCGGATAACGGATACATTCAGCACAACTATCGTCCATCCAGAGCTTTCACTTGTATCTTTCGTGAATCCAACCTGCCATGGACCGCAGCTGCTGAGTCATAAGATTCCACCCCCTGCGTTGTGACTACGTTAAAGCAAAATAGCCAGCCTTTGTCTCGGTTTGCCATCCATTCCTTTCATGGACTTCAATGGGCTTCGAGTCTGATTTGAACTTTGGAGTTCGGAGCTTGTGAAATTTGGCTAAAATCGGTCCGCATTGATGGACTCAGGCCTCTTCAAACGGCCACGACTTGCACTTTGTTGTCCCTCAGGATGCCCGGACTGAGCACAGAGAGCGCCCTCGTTGTCTGGCCAAGCCGTGATCATAAGTTTGCAACAGTCTTCTTAAACTTCTGAAAGTCTAGAAGCTCATCCTGAAATTCTCACAACAAGGCTGGCATCCCTGTTTGAGAGGTGGCAGCTCCAGAGTGCGAATGGAATATCTGGACCTCTCTTGAAGTGGTTACTTATAATCGAGGCGGTGACGCTGGATCAGTTGTGATCAAGGTGATGCAACTGAATTGAACGGCAATGAAGCGTGACACAGCTAGTGACAATCAAACAAGCAAGGCAGGTGGCCAGTTGGTCATCCTCACAACGAAAATGAAATCCCCTGAAAAAGGTAAAAACAATCAAAAGTAAAAAATCTTGGACTTTTCACACTGTTCGGCTGGACATGTTGATGTGTTCTTTCTTTTTCGGATTTAAATATGGCTGTTCGTTAAGTGTCTAACCTTTCACATGTTTCTACCTCTTGATGTCCAACGCAATCAACAGTATAACTCTTAAATCAATGTTGTGCGCTCTTGGAGTTTTCACACACTTCCACTTTTTAGATTATTGCCTGCCAAGCACATCACTCTTTGCACGTATCACCGCCCTCCGACTTTTTGACTGTTTGTGCATGTTTCATCATGTGTCCACTTTCGGATTCAGCAACCAGGCGCTTTTCAGGTCCGTGTGAAGTTTTCAACTTAACTTTGCAGTTCTTTTTGGAAGCAGGTTGTAAACTGATTTGCAGTCTTTGGCTTGGTCACTTCTAACTACAGTGTTTACCTGGAGCCTAGAGCTTCTTTTGACGTATGCATTTAAGGCGCGCCTGAAAACACAGGGCAGCCGCAAAGAAAAAAAATCGACTCCGTTGTGTATGCCTTGGCAAGCTGATTGCACGCACCAACCATGACCTACGCTGGGGTTCAGTAAGTGACATGGCCCGAATGCCCGACGAGGATGAAAGGCCGTAATCATGTGAGCGTTTAAATGTCTCTTTACCTCACGACCAGCACAAAGGCCATAATTATCTCAGACACTAGAATCAGAACCTAAGCAGTCTCAACATGTCTAAACGCTGTCTCCTGCTTTCTTGCGCTGTAATTCAACTCTCTTTAAGTGTTCACGTTCTACTTGCTGTGTTTGTTTCAAGTGGGCACGTCACTTGGCAAAGCTCCACTAATGTAGCCAGGATATGAGGTCTGACCAACCTCACGCACCTGCTTTCTTTCAAGCTTTGATGACAACTGTTGTGTCGAATTCCTGCGATTCTAAGTACTAGTAGAGCTTAAGTTGTCTCACACGTTGTTTTGCAGTTTAGGAACAATTTGCTTTGCGTCGAATGATGTATGACAAATGGGTTAAAACATTTCGGATTTCTCACTGCCAATGATGGCTCCTTCTGAGCTTTACCAGAAGTGTATGTGCATTTGATCTGTCGTGAGAATCTCTCCAAGTAGGTCACGAAGGACTTTCGGTACCGGGACTTGCATGTCATCTGGGCACGTAATATAAACACTTCACCAACTTGATGGTTGTTTCTTTCCAGTGGATTTTGGCCCTCAGGGACTCAGGGGCCTTCAAAACCTAAGTTTAGGGCGCAATCCCTGTATCGAAAACCTGCACTATCGGGGACGATCAGCCACCAAATGGATCTATATATCCTGCTTTGGCCCGGCGGCGCTTCACCTTCGAGACCTGCTTTGAGCTGTTGGGCATACACTGCACTGATTGCGTCTCATCTCCATGTGCAAACACCTGAGTAGTGACTCGTGGCCTAAACTTGGGTGTATGGGAAGCCAGCCACAGTACCCAGAAACAATGTGCTTCCACGTTTCTATCAACCGGGCTGCTTCTCAAGAAACCATTTTCGGGGTTGTCGAGCAAATCACTTGACTTAAGAATACTTAAGACTCTAAAAGTAAAACTTGCTGGTACATACGTACTGCTCTGTCAAAGCAGCTTGCTTCTTTCAACCGTATTTGAAGCTTTGTCAACCTTCATTAAATACAGTGCTACAGGCTTACAAGTTTACAAGCAAACCAGGTTGTCAAGTTGCGCAAAGAAAGGGGAAAGCAACAATAGAACAACCCAAGCAGCCGGGCAAGCGAACCCACTAATGCTCAACGCATTCAGCTGACAATTTGTTGAAAACACAGAAACCCAGCTCAGAGAGATTACTTCATTCGTGCCTGCGGGAGAACGCCCTCCACGTCTATCTGCTTAAGCTCTTCACCAGATTCATCATCCTCAAAGACCTGTGTCCGGATCTTGGAGCCTTTCTGCATTGCAAAGGAGCAAGACCTAAAGGCCGAAGGCCGCAGCTACATCGCATAGGTCCAAGAGTGGTTTGGATGTATTGGTGATATGGCTGGCTTTGTAGTGTGCCTTGACTTTGATTTTTCTGGTCGCATCCGTCTCCACACAAGCTTCTTGGGCCAAGTCATGGCCAACAACAGCAGGACGCTGAGAGACAAGGGACCTTTCTGGCAACCAGGCAAACCATATTAGCTAACTCTTATAGTCAAACTCTCAAACTTGGAAAGCTCCGGCCCACTACACTGGACAAATCTACGGCAAAGTGACAGTTTGGTTCCATTCTCAATCTACTACTGCCACGGGCATATCTGTCCCTTCTGGCAGACCCCTCTTTCAAGACCCTTGAAGTCTGGAGAAGGTAGAATGAGAACGCAAGATTCGGCCTGAATGTCATGGTGCAATTGTGGTTGAAACAAGTATAATATATATATATATATGAGCATGGATGACCCCATCATCCTACTAATATACAGGGCCCTGAAAAAAACTCTGGTTGTGTTTTACTCACGACGGATACAAAGGGAGTCGCTAAATAATACGTACCAAATGGGGTACCTGGATTGGGGGCCCTCCATGATGCTGCTCGCAAACATGTGTTGGTTTTAAATTAAATTGTGCGAGTATGTTGATTGCTCTTTGCAGAGCTGGAGCCTCTGGCAATGCGGTTCTTCCTTGACATGCTGAAATAGATTTCTTTATGGAAAGCAAGCATATATATATATGTCTCCTATTCTCTCTACGGCGAACTCCCTTTTTCTCAGGAGTGCCTCACAGTTGCTAGTGAGGACACGGCGCACTTGGCCGGTTAACCTCGTGAAACTGTTTGGCCCTTCTCGGCCTCCGGCACATCCTCAAGAGGATCTTGCCTTTGGAGCTCATGAGCTCTGCACTTCTCTGCAGGAAGAAAAAGAAAGACTAGGCCTCACCTCTTCCGCTTCCTGCATCCCTGGCGAAGCCGCAAAAATTCAAGCCTCCACGCCTTCACTTGCGCGCGCTGAAAGGCGGTAAAGTTGACTTGCGCCAGTTGGAAAGTGCCTTCGCCCACATATGACATATTGCTTTGCGGTCTTGCTGCAAGACCACCGCCCCCCGAGCTACTGTAGCATCCACGCTCAACGTGGATTGAAAATGCCATGTCGCACCACCCCTTCTGAGGGAGTAAGGGGTATAGTCATCTTCAGCAAATCCAAGGCGACATAGCAGTTTTGCAAAAAGTTTGCGGAAGCAGTGCCGGCCATGGGGCCAGAGCAAAGACTTCTCCTGTGGCCGAAGGACAGAGGTGGCATAGGTAATCAGTGCATCATCCAGCACCAACAATTCCCTTGAGAGGTTTTGCTACCCGGGATGACGAGGCTCGTCCCTTTTCCTTGCCGGTGTGGGACCACATGCTGGTGCGAGAGGGACAGCATCTCGCTAGTGCGCAACAGCGCATTGAAACCTAGGGCAATCAGCAGGGCGAACTCTGGCTGCTGTTGACTGTGGGCTAATCCCATGAGAGCTTCAACCATTTCCCAATGGGCTGGCACAGCCCTACTCGGTGTGTAGCAGCGCTGCCAATTGCGAAAGTATTGACTGGAGATCGGTAACTCCAGCCTCAAGGCAGGGTGAAACCGTTTTATTGCCGACAGAAGGTGGCCTGAGAGGCTCGCCCTCCTGGTAAGATTGATCAATGAATTCTGCAACCTGGTTGTCTAAACGGGGTGGCTTTGATATATTCAGCTTTCGGCGCTTCACATACTCAGAAAACGGTCCAGTGCAGCTCGGTAGGCCCGCAAGGTCCGGGGGTGTAGGCCTGCAAATTGCAAGCTTGCTTTGCTACCCTTCACGCGCTCGGCTTGCCTTGTCCGCAAAGTTCCATCGGCTGATGGTCCAGAGCGGGAACATGTAGCTGTCAAGGGCTAAAAGGTAAGCACTACACCTCCGGGCTATCTTGTTCAACCTGCGTGAGCTGCTTCTCCCTATTGCGAGTACTCCTCGGGAGACCATTGAATCCAACACATGGAAAAACCTGTAGTGTTGCTTGGACCGTGCGCGCGCGCGCGCGCCTCTTGAGAAAAACTGCCGCTGCCAGAAACTCTAATTCATTCATGTGAGCTTCCTGGCGCCATGCATAGGACATTATTGTCCTCCATTGCCACCTCATTGCTAAGTACGGTTGCTCATGCATCTGTGGGCCTTCAGCCCCCTCCACCTCGAGGAACAGGCGGACGTCGCTTCCTCGGTAAGTCGGCTGTCTCAACAGCGCTCAAATGCTCCTT